CCTGTTGCTTACATACAGCACTTACTTCCTTAAATATGAAAAACAGTCAAATATTTAACCCACCCTCTTGCTTACATACTGCACTTACTTCCTTATCTGCTGATTTTGGAGATTCGCCAGCCTTAGCTTTCTTCTTAGGAGTGGTTTTGATAGGAGTTTCAGCTTTGTCATGAGCTTTATCTTCCTTTGCCTTCTCTTTAACATCTTTCATCGTAGTTATTTTTTGGGTGGTTTTCTTATCTTCATCTGTTAAAACTTTCACATCCTTCTTATTCTTCTTAATCACCACTTTAACATGTTCTTTTTCATCTGACCCAGTAGCTATTAGAGGTTTATCAGGTAATGGATTCTTAGATTTTTTCTTTTTTATTGCATTGTCCGCATCTTTATTTTTCTTAACTTCCTTTTCAACTGTTTTTTCAGCTCCTTGGAATTCAACACCTGGTGTGCTGCTTGACAGACCCTTAAATTTGATTGACAGTTTTTTCTTGTGTTTGTCTTCAGAGGTTGATCCTTCTAACTCAAGTGATAATTTTTGTTTCTTTATCTTAGTCTCACTACTACTTTCACTTTTGCTTTCTGAGGTGGAATGTTTGTGTTTATGTTTTTTATGAGAATGAGAGTGATGAGAATGGTGCGGTGCTTCGCCGTGTGGAAGGTGTACTTTCAGGATAATATGATGGTCTTCGTCCTTCACTTCACTATGTGGTTCATTCTTGTGCTTTGGCTTTGAGTGTTTTGAGGTCTTTTTTCCATGTTCACTAGCTGATGAACTCAAACTTGCTGTACTTTTCGTACCCTCAGAAGATACATGTGACAATCCACTTTGCTCAAATTCCAATTTTTTCTTTTTTGTTTTCTTTTTCACTGCTACCTGCTGTACACCAACCACATTAACCATGTCTTCACTGCTATCATTGGTTTTGCTCTTTGCAGTACGTTTTTTTGAATCGACCTTACTATCACTAGTTTTCTTTGCAGCTTTAGAAGACACTTTTTTTACCTTTTCTTTGGTTTCACTTCTCATTTCACTTTCTTTCTTATTTGTTTCACTCTTCTTTGGAACATCTGCAGTCACAATATTCTTAAGAACTGTGGGAGAATCTAATGCTTTCTTGGATTTCTTGGACTTCTTATTCTTCCCTCCATCAGAACCAGTGTCCTTGGAAGTCCATTTCATTTTGCTACTAACAGGCGAGGTACCAATTATATCAATTATTTCACCAGATGCAGAACTAGAATCACTATGACCTAAGCTCATCTTTTTGCTCTGTTTTGCTACATGGGGTTCCTGTGTCATGACATCCACATACAAGTCTCCTCCATCAAACAGGCTTTCTCCGAGTCTAGAGACAGGGCTTTCATCAATGAGGGTAAAGGTTTTCTTAGGCACAGGGGTCCTTGATGAAGTTCTTACTTTTGGTGAATACCAAGCCCCTAGTCCTTCATTCCCCTTCATGGCTTGCTGTGATTGCAGTTCTAAGGGACTATTATCCTGTATGCTGGGCTTTCCCTGTCCTGGCGTAGCAGTAGCGTTAGCCTTTCCACGTTTACTACTACTACCAGTCTTTTTAAACTTTGCTGACCCTTTTTGGAAGGTGCTATCTTTTGGCGAATCTCGTGAAACCCTAATTTCTGTGGCAACAGACATATTTTTCTCTTTCTTGTCATCAATTCCCCTAAAACTTGCGGTTTCAACGTAGTCTTCGTCAAACAATTTTGGTTTTGGAACTCGCGAGGACCTTCTTTTTGTAGAAGCTGATGAATCTTCATCATCAACAATGCCCAAAACATCATCTATACTTCTCCTTTCTCCTTGGTTTCGAGATATAGACTTTGATTCTTTTTTCTTTGGAATTTCACGTTCAGATCCCGGAGATCGCACACTTATGTCTGTATAATCATCATCGAATACCTTGGGTTTTGGAGCTCTTGATGATCTTCTTACAGACGACTCACCGTCCTGTGTCTTTGTTTGCTCAATGTATTCTTCAATTCTTGAACGTTTGGACAGTGATGACTTCAACGAGGGAGAATAATCACAACTCGTATCGTCTAAAGTATTTATGCTGCGCTTTAAAGGTCTTTTATGCGACATTTTAAGTTAATTCGAACCAAAACCAGCCGAAATACAAGCAAACAGAAGTGAATAAAATCAAAGATGGCGCCCAACAGAAAACACAGGTAGCCCAAAACAAGATTGTCCAGGAAATCAAATGAAATAAACTGCCATGACAAGTATTGGTTTGAAAAATCCTTTATCAATAGTATAACGTCATTGCTAAGACTGGAGAAGTAATCAAAAGGAAAATTCAAGCGGATAACAATTTTAATGTTAAAAAAATCAGAGCAAATATAACTGAGCCCACTCTATCCTAGCTCAGCGGATGATCAAACTACATCACAGGAAGCCCAACCACAGTTCTTCTCAGACTGCAATGGCGTCAGACGTAAAAAGTACTATTTATTTTACTTATTTTTTTCGCTTTTCGTGCCACTTTAGGTAATTTTTGATTGTTTTTGCTTTCTTTAGGTTTAATAGGAAGGCTAACTAACCAGAAAACTGATCAAAGAGTTGGATGCAAGAAATGCGGATACCGTAAGTCATGATGCATAATTGTCGTCATCTACTTTAGAACTGTTTTTGTTTATGTGCCTTTAATTTCTCTTATATTGAACAAACTTGCTTAGCTTTGATATAGATAATTTTCTCGCACAAATATATCGAAACTTTAAAAGGAAACTAACATTAAGCTTATGATCGACATATATGATCTTTATTACCGTTTGTTTTGAAGTTTGTTTGATTTATGAACCACGTGGTTGATTGAATACCGTATGTTCATCAAATAGGACGTTTGCATGATGGCATCATTGGACTCCTACTACCATAATGCTTCGCAAATTTTCTTTCTTATTTAAATTTGTATATTTCCCTCAAGAGAATAGTAAGATGATTGGTGCTAATTAACTGAACAAAATAAAGTGTGCAAGGGAGGTGAGTCTGGTATACCAAGCAGAGGTCAATGACACCATCATGCAAATGCTATGAAGAGTTTGGTTGTGCAGTGGTTAGCGCTTATGACTTTCACTTCAGAGGTCAGGGGTTCAAGCCCTGGCTGTGGGGTAAAATTCGTAAGGTGTAAATACCTTGGCTCTCTACCTTGGGGACTGTGAATTCCTTGTGGTTCGGATGACCTTGTTAATGTCCATTCTCCAATTTGGTATTTAAAAGAACCACTGAGGATGCAACAAACCCTGGCAGTGACCACCCTCAGTGCCAGCAAAGAGTTCAGATTGAGTCCCATAAAGGTTACTAGTGAATGAGACCCTTACACATTTTAATGTGTTATTAAAATAACCACAAATATTCATCACATAACCACAGCTAGTATACCAATGGAATGTTACCAGGTGCTGGATGGAAAGCAAAGCAAAGCAAACATCCTATTGATGTGTTTATATTTATCATTATGCATTTTACTCACTACATGTATCTCACTTCTGATTGGCCGAGAGCATTCAGCTAAACCCTAATATGTAACCTTGATATGATGAATGTATTTTCTGTAAGTTCTACTGTAAATAATGCACTTATCATTTCAAATTCACACAAGGTCACAATTTAGAGTGAAATAATACACTATTTTTTCAAAAGCAGAATTAAATCCAGGGGGTGGTGTACAGTCCCTTTTTCCAGGTGATAGGGGTAATTGGTGGTCCTTTTAGCATTGAAAATATTTCCTGTGTGAATCTGTTTAAGGGTTCCGACTCAAAAGTCAGTTTCAAACATGACTTTGTTTTAGGGACAATTGTTATCTATTTTCTTTACTAAACAAACATGAAAGAACAGAAGAAAATATGTTTCCCAGTCACTGATTGAATGGGTATCTGCAAAATTACTTTGAATCATTATATGGTTATATCTTTTAGGGGCCATAATTTACATGGCTTAAACAGCTCTAAATTTAAGCATACCTTTTTGGGGTCCTTTCCAAAACCAACAGCCAATCACCCCTACCACTTGGACAAAGAGAGTACCCGCTTCCCTGAATTAAATGCTTTTCACTCATTCCTAGTTTACAAAATGTATATTGTATTGCATTTAGTTTTCATGTGATATCAAAAAATTATCAAGACCTCAACAGTTACTGTTTTATCCACCTCAGCCTATGGCTTCGGCAGACAACACAACCTCGGTCTTAAAAATTTACAATGTCATGCTCAAGTTACTCCTCATCTGATAATTGTATAATATTAATAGTAATGTAATATTAGCATAATTACACAAGTTGGCCTTGTTGCTGCTACTGACCATGGCCATTTCTGGAGCACATTTACATTGTATGCGAATACAACTTATGGGGTCTATTTAGACTTTAAATTCCTCTTTTGATTATGCATTTATAAGAGGTGTCCACATAAATTTTGTAATTAATATTCCGACACATTAATTAAGTTTCTCATCTCTCTCTTGCAGCTGGTCATTTGACATTTCAGTGTCGTAACTTTATCCAAACTGACCCCAAGAAGGATGTTATAGTGGATGTTAGTAGCACTTCAAGTGAAGACAGTAATGATGATGACATCTCTGTTTCTTCAACATCGTCTTTTTCATCTGAGTCAGGTCTGTGATCTATTTTTAGTTTGTTTTGCTAACAATCTATAGTAGAAGCAGAAAATATCTAAAACTTACCCAAGGGAGAGAATTGATGTTAGCCAAGCCCAAACATTCGCTTTAATTTCCAAGCCTCTTACTCAAGCTACTTGCTTGCTTTTTTCCCTTTGGCGATCTGAGATGGATGGGTTTCCTGTGGTGAAAACAAAGAAGGCTAAGGCGAGAGGGGAAGGTAAAGAAAAGAGTTAGTAGTATGCTAAAACCTGACAATGTGACCATTCTGCACATCTTGGTCAATGCTCAGCTGACACAGGAAGCCCAGTACAGAGCAAAGAAACGCCTGGGAGGAGACCACCCCTCATTCTACTCCTATCTGATGTTCTATGAAACATTAATGATAAAAGGGTAAATTTAACACTGAAAAGATTTAAAAACTTACTGACATTTGGGACACTAGTCCTTAGTCGGAGTCCTTCCCGGTCTTTTACTCTGAAGAAGGACTAGCGTCCAAAATGTTAGTAAGTTTTTTAGTTTTTTATCTATTAATGGTGATAAATTTACCCTTTATCATTACTGTTTCATAAGAAACACCGATGCAGCTCACCCCAGTTTTTAGCTAGTTATCTCTTCTAAAGTTCTATGACTTACAAGTTAAAAATTAGAATTTATCTACCTCATTATTGCATAGCATAGTAAAACGGTTTCTAACAACTACAGTAAAGCCTTTACCTTCAATAATGGTGTCAGATTTTATTATTTTCTCCTGTAGATAAAGAAGTCTCACGCTCAAAATCAAAAAAGAAAAAGACAGTAACAAGAAAAAAAACAAAGAAACAAACAAGGTATTACAGATATATAGTTTTAAAAAAAGATTATTAGTAGACAGATAAACTGATGGTTTTATTCATAACTTCTAGACACGATTCAAGATCAGATTCTCTTGAAAAAGCATTAAGACAAAGAGATGTGCCACGAGAACACTCACCTTCAGCATCTCCCCCACCCAAAAGGTATGTCATGTGTTTTTACTAATTAGTACAGAGATTTGCACCAGAATGACCTTCACTGTGTACAATTTGCCCTCCTTGCAATTGTTTTTCCTAATAGAAGATGCAGAGCACAATTTGAGCAAAACATTTCAGTAGCATTGAAGGGAGACTAAGAAGTCAGGAGCGGATCTAGAATTGCTTCGGATGAGTGGGGTAGCACCAAAACCGGGAGTTGAATGGTCATTAGTCTTGGAGTTTGGCATTTCATGTTCAAAATTTGGGAGGAAAGGAAATTCAAACGGGGGGAGGGGGCTGGCAACCACCTCCACACAATGCATGACTCCACCTATAGATAGTGTCCAAAACTGCCGACGAGACGAGAAAGAGCACATCAAAATTAACAGGTTTCTGCAGTATGGCTCCGATTAGCTGAGTAACAGCTAAATCATAAGCAATCAAAAACATTAAAAATTACAAAGGAATGACAAGCGTCCCCAGTAACAATACATTTCTTGGTAATTTTTGAGATGTTTGGAAGGTTGCTACACAAAAGGTATCAAATCCAAAATTGTGAAAGTCCAGAAATTTACATATTTCGTTTTAACTAAATACATCATTATAATTCTAGACTAGCTTCTAAATTAACTTACTCCCTCCCCAGGGCTAGAACTAATTTTGGGAAGTTTAATATTATATATTTTTTTTTTGCTTAGTTCATACACCTCCTGATTTTTTCTTCTCTAATTTGCTTGAATCATATTAAATCATATATTAAATTTACTATTGTTTTATTTTGTTCTTCTTATGTTATTTGATATGCTTAAATTAATTTTGTCTTCTCTTGTCAGCTTGTAATTGTTATGTTTTTATATATATATATTATTATTCATTCTATCTATTATTATCCTAATAAGACCCAATTTATACTATTCTTAATGCAAATAGCAGCTGTCTATCTTGGTTAGCTACTACAGGTATTATAGAAAGCTTGTACCTTTAAATCTGTTTATTCTTATATTTTAAAATTACAATTGTAATTAGGGTACTAATAATTAAAATTAATTGATAACTAGGTTAAATCTAAAAACCTGTTTTTAAGCCTCAACTGGTTTCTAAAGTGGCCGATAAGCACACCCCCCCCCCCCCCCAATGCTATTATTTTCTTACCAAATGGGAAATTAAGATCCCAGTAACAGTCCACTGTCTAGCATACATGTACAATGTATGATGACAAATTCCTATGGAATTTCTTATTTAGGTCAAGGCGCTATGATGATTCTGACTCAGGTGAGTTCAAGTAGAGCCATTGACCTTTCTTCAATAAGCATGGTTTGCCTGCTCCTGGTTTTTTCATCTGTTGCATGGGTGGATCTAGCATTTTAAGTTTCAGGGTTGTGATGAGAGATTGGCTTGAGGGGTCTAGGAATCTGGATCACATCCTGGAATGGAATTTAGATCACCTACTCCGAATCGAATATTCATGGATCAAGGAATTATTTTTTGGAGGGAATCGGAGCATCAATGTTATGTTTCAGAATTCCTATGCCCAAATTTTTGGGGTCAGGGATCAAAATTTAGTGTACAAATACTGTATTTAGCGTGAAAAAATCTATGGTCACGACTCTATAAATTTACTTTTTGCTCTCAGTAACAAATTGCAAATTTAGAAAATCCTGGTGGTAAGGGAGAGATTGGGGAGGGGTTGTATCTACCTCTTATACATCTCGTATCCACCTACATTGTATTTTATCACTATATTATCTTTTCACATACTTATTTAAACACTTATATATATTTACATTTTGGAAAAATGTTAATGTACTGATCAGTTGAATACTCCTAATAAAATCTTTCGGTCGGTCGGTCGGTCGGTCGGTCGGTCTGTCTGCCTGTCCGTCTGTCTGTCTGTCTGTCTGTTTGTTTGTTTGTCTGTCTTGTATACTGTATCCTCTTTACAGTGGTTTCATATGTTAGTCATGTTTAAGCACAGTAACCGTGATGCAAAGTTAGTTGCATGACAAGAGTTTCCATTTCCTCTAGAAGAAATGCTATATTGTTTTGTGCAGTAGCCAGCCTAACATTGCTGTACCACTCTAGTTTTCAACCTTTCTCAGAAAGGGTTAGCTGGTATGCATGTGACAAATTTTTCTTTCTTCTATCTAAAGATTCAGATTCTGATGACGAAAGGCGAGAGGAAAAATCTAGAAGCAGTCGATCAAAGCACAAGCATAAACACCACAAGTAAGTAACCTTGATGCTAACCGTAGATGAACTTTCTTTTCCATTCACGGTGAAGTATAAAATGAACACTAAAACAGAAAAGACAGGGCTTTTATTGCGGTTGTAAATTATGGTTGCAGCTCTTAAGATCAAGTTTGGATAACAATTTTTTGTTTCGCTACTAAATTTTGAGAGAATGAAAAACATAATAACCCTGGGGTCAAGAGCAGTGGGGGATCCTGGGTTATCCCATCATGCATTGTAAGGCCCTGGCTAAACGAGGAATATGTTTCCAGAAACATGTTTTCTTAAATGTTTCTAAAGGTGGCAAGACATCGGAAAACATGTTTACTCAATATCGGTTAGCGCATGCGCACTTTCAAGAAAGAGCTAGCGTTGCTAAGTAACGAACTTTTAGAATGTTGACTTTCGTGGCTAAACGAGGAAACATTTGTTTCCATGCGTCTTGGAAGTATGAATTGTTTCTGCCGCACAGCAGAAACATTTTTGCGTCTTGGAAGCAAAATTTGTTGCACGTAGCAATGTTTCACATGGCTAAACTTGAAATCATCGGGGAACATGCGCGCGGTAAACATGTTTCTGGAACCTTGTTTCCTCGTTTAGCCAGGGCCTAAGTATTTTATGACAATTTCCATGCAATTTTGTTCAAACTTTTTAAAAAATCCATTCTTATTTTGTGCTTTTCCTTGACACATTCAATGCGTTAGTCAAGTTAATGGTCTGCGTTGTGCTCTTACTTAAATGACAGTAAATAGGTTTTTAAAGTGTTTCCAAAGGATGTTTACCCTTGTCCTGGGATAGTGAGTAACTCTTCTCTGTGTGTGTATTGACAGGAAAACTAAAAAACACGATCGGCCAGACCGACACAGCAAAAAGAAGAAGACAGAAAAAAAGAAACACAAGAAAAAGGATAAATAATAAACTATCATTCAAGGAATACGGTCGAGACAAATCAAGATTTCTTGATTCACACTGTATTTCGTCCACCATTTTTAATATATTTTATTTTAAACTTCAAATTCAAAATAAACTGTATCTAGCGCGCTGGCTGGATTCTACTATCCATGAGTTTCCATTCTTAACCACTTGCACGAAACTACGTCGTTTCATTTATTCTCAGGATGTCGGTGGAGTTCTGCAACTTTTATTTAAGTTTTAATTTTTTTCGAATTTCAACTATCAAAGTTTTACCGCCCTTTTGCATTGAAACGCAGCCACCCCAGACAAAAATCGCAACGTGCACATTGCAACTGCCTTCAATCAAACACGTTGACGTCATTTACACGCATTTGGATCAGCCCGGATAGGCCCGGTGAGTGTGGCGCATAATACTTGTAAACAATCGACAAGTTTTGGCGCCTTTTGAATCACACACGCGTGTAAATGACGTCAACGTCAACGACGTTTGATTGACGGCAGTCTATTGGAAAGTGCACGTTGCGACTTTCGTCTGGGGTGGCCGCGTAGCAATGCAAATGGCGGTAAAAGGCCATAACATGCATGGCATTTGCAACAGGTGTTGTAACATTTTCCCCCCTTTGTATCATATAATATTGACAAATTTTTAATTCGACTTATTTTTTTATATACCATGACTGCTTCATATCTCCCATTTACCTTTGATAGCTTTATATTGTCCAACAATCTGTATGAAACCTATACATACATAACAAATAAATAAACTTATCATGATAATATATATGTGAAGATATATAATAGGGGTGCACGTACTGATTATAAGGGGATGAGCTCTGTCCTCTTTTGCCTCTTCCAACATGTACGTTCTTTCCATCTCTGATCTCCCCAGTCCCTTACCTCGAAAGCTGTCAAATACCTAAAACTGAGCATAATAAGCCTCTACCAGCCTCCTACTGACGCTGAACAACTGTTGGATAATTGGTGATAATTAACTGAACGAAAGAGTCCGGTAGTCGAGGTCCATGACGGCATAATGCAAACGTCCTATATAAGATTAAATATAGAGAAAAGGTAGTGTCGTGTTGTACGAATGGACAGGGAGATTCAATTCAAATTCGAATTCCGATATGCCAATTCATTGGGCTAGTAGCGTGCCCTATACGATAGCCGATAGCATATATTATATCATTATTTTTGTGGATAAAATAATGAAGCATTGTTTTAAATATGACAAAAATTGGAAAGCTTCCCAGCGAATTCATTCCTGGCTGTGTAGGTTTAGGGTTGGGATAGGTATTGTAATATCGGTTGGTGCCAAGGGTGCCCAGTTCGCCGGAATCTTGCCCGGCATTGGATTTTTTTCCTAAGTGAGGAGAACCAAAATTTTCGAAAAGTTTCACTCGCGTGTTCGGAAACCTATGACGTCAGTATGACGTGCTTGGTTAACCCGTACATCACGATGCTACCAGAGAAAACCACAAGTTATCTAGATCAAGCGCAGTGACCGTCTTCTCATACATTGATAGCTGAATTAATCCAAGGCTGCATGTTTTCGGTGTTAAGGACGAGGACTAGGACAACACTAAGAGGAGAGAGAGAGAGAAGTGAGTGTTCTAATCTGCTGCTTGGAGACTGGGCAAAACGTTGGGTAAACAACAGTTACGTCATGAGGAATTACGAAAAAAGTTCTAAAACTCTGGAATAAAAAACACCCGAATTCGAAGAATAAATATACCTAATTCAAAAAACGCTGGTCATTTCCAAAGGCAATAGGCAATAGGAGCAGGCCCGTAGCTAGGATTTTTGTTGGGGGGGTGCTAATTTACAAAAAGTGGACCAACCATATACTTTATTTTTTAAAAGTCCCATAGGACGCATAGGTATAGATAAATTATTAAAGTAAAATTGATTTTTTTTACTTAGTTTTACGTGAAAATATCATACCAGCCAAAATCTCACTTGCTTAAAAAGCGGACCTTTAGCTCGCGTGGGTAGGGGGGGGGGGTGCGAACGCACCCCCTGCACCCCCCCCCTAGCTACGGGCCTGAGGAGATAGGCGATAAGCGATAGGATATAKGTCATTCCAAGATCCAAGAATAGCTGGAATGACTTGTGTTTCTGCTTCTTATTCTCGTCAAGAACATGGACCTTCGTGCTGAGATTGATTCAATGTTCTTTGCATTCAACGAAACCATTTCCATGTCGGAATGACCTATCGCCTATCGCCTTTGGCGATGACGTTTTTTGAATTAGGTGTAAATAAACAAAAGCTTCAGGTTATTCAAGTATTGACCTCGCTCATCCACTTGACTCATTGTCTAGTGATAGCCCAAGTTTTTTTTTCCCGCTGGGTCACAATTCCAAGAAATTAGCTCAACTATAGCCTTGAAAACAATGTCAAATATAGACTAGGGGGCTCAGTCAACATCACAACGATTCCGTGCGTGGCAGGTGGTGCAAGGGATTAGCTGTAGATATGGTCTGGGGGCCGGCTAGTCTCCCCGGATGCTTCGGTTAGAACACACCCCTGCGTAATGCGTACAAACAAAGGCAGAGGGACTTAATTGCCGTCAGGTCCGCAGGCCATACGACGCCTCAGACCTGCGGATGTCTTGGGGGTATGGCACAGTGGGAAATGGATTATTTTGGGATTAATTTAAAAAAAAATTATTGTAAGACGCATTTCTATTTAGGATATTTCACTGACCCCCTTGCAGGAGTACGAGCTTCTGTTCAACAGAAATAAACACGATATGTTGACATTTTTCATACAACATAATTCAGACGTTTTTTTTTTTCATTTATAGGGCCCAATCTTCTTTAGCTACTATGACCGTTTTTTTTTTGTTTTTTGTTTTTTGTTTTGTTTGAATTCGAAATAGGTGCATAGTAAAACGCTTGCTCGCAACATTCAAATCACAGTTAGGATTCAGTCCACCAATGAAGTGCTTTATTTACTAACTGTTAAGAGCCACACCTATATCTGATATGGCTCCACTGTAGTGTTCATAAGAAATAATTCTTTTATAGAGGCCAACCTGGCGCTGATACACTCGGTGCAGCTAATGCGCATGCGCCTATTATCTAGATCTACTTTAGCAACAATCTCGTATCTAGAGCCTGCGTTTCTTTTGGCCCTCGTTCTTCGTCGCAGGCCAGAAGAAACGCAGTGTCTGGGTACAAATTTGCTTCTGCAACCTCACATGCAACAACTTCTTTATCATGTTGACAAAACTCGCAACATAACTGGTAATGGTATGATGTGCTCAGCCAATGAAATGTGACTTCTCTGTGTATACCGCTGGCCAGAATTTAGTTCAGAATATGTTCTACATGTGAAACAGGTATTTCAAAAAAAAGGTTGGTAAAAGCATGCTGCTTGTTGCATTATGCTTACTCAGCCTTAGATGTATTATATTAATGTAGAAATATTGTCAGCACAGAAGAAATTTACCTAATTGAGCTGATCTGCGCAGTATATCTATACAGTATCTATACTCATTCTCTATATATTTTCATAAACGTAGAATAAATTATACCGAAAAAGAAAAACGTGCCAATACAAAGTTGCGTAATTAAGTTCCCCATAACGTTGCAACCTTACGCACAGGGAGCCCGGCTTTGGAATCTGTACATGAATAAATAAATCGATAAAGTGCTTTGGGTTTCCTGTGTTGAGATTTGAAACAAGGCGCTGATACGTTGAATTTCCGGTAATCGTACTACCAGTAACTTGATAGCAGATTAACGTAACGTATCAGTGAAACGCACGCCCTAGTAAATGGTAGGGCGTGCGTTACACTAATACATTAAATTTGAATTATAAGCTGCTCTCGAATTACTTACATTAATCTGCTATCAAGTTACCAAATCTCAATACAGGAAACCCAAAGTACTTTATTGACTTATTTATCATTGGCGTCTTGTTTCAAATCTCAACACAGGAAACCCAAAGCACTTTATTGATTTATTTATTCATGTACAGATTCCAAAGCCGGGCTCCCTGTGCCTTACGTTCATCGCAGTCACATCGCCCATAGTGCATTTCGGGCTTGGTATCCAACATGCAACAAAACCTTGACCAACCTTTTAGAAAGAGCAGTATATACGCATAACTTAACTTTGCACTGACGCAGAAGTCGCACCGTGTGTGTTAAGTGTCTTAAGGAATGAAAGCTATTATTGTCACAATGTTGCCTTTATCGTGACATAACAAGGACACGCCGTTTAACACCATTTTAAAATATTTCAAGTCTAGAATTCAATACTTATTTAATATGCCGTCACCAATAAATTTTACACGAACAGGACTTCTTTGAAAAAAAAATTAAAATAAAATAATAACAGTTTTATCTGCAACCTTTGGTTCGGCTTTCGATATTTTGTGAACTCTGACATTTCAACAGCTTGTTGTGAAATTGTTTTTTTACTGCTGCCATTCAGAAATATTAAAGGTACAGACTGATTAACGAAAAACCAAATTTCATCATGGAAACTATAACTATCGAGTTCGCAGTATATCGAAAAGCACAGTAATGATATGACTTCATCTGACAATGCATTTATATCCCCTAACAGAACCATCACAAATAGAAATTTCTTCGGGCATATATTTGGTTACAAACTCATTTACTCAGGGTTGGCTTCATTTTAGAGTATAAAATATTCACAAATATCAACGGCAAAGTGAAGAATAAACAACTTCAACAATACAGACACTTTGAAATTCCGTTAACGTGCACTCATTTACTCAGGGTTGGCTTCATTTTAGTGTATAAAATATTCACAAATATCAACGGCAAAGTGAAGAATAAACAACTTCAACAATACAGACACTTTGAAATTCCGTTAACGTGCACTCATTTACTCAGGGTTGGCTTCATTTTAGTGTATAAAATATTCACAAATATCTCTTCTATTTAAAATGAACGCCTGCCCTGAACAACAGAGAAACTGGAGTATCGCTGTTTCCTTGGTTTGTCCAACCGCCTTTAACTAGGAATTGAGTAGGGAGACTACTGAAAGAAAGGCCTTTTTTACAAACGAATAGCTATCGTTTTTTAAGTCGTAATAAATAATGTGAAAACTAAATGGAGTAAACACGTTTTCTAAGAGAGAGTGAGAATAGTGCATAATACTTGAAGTCATATTTTTTTCTTTGTGATCCCGTTATCATTTTTTGGGGTGAGATTTAACACATTTCCACCTATTAAGAAATATCAATACCCTAATGGTTATTAACTAGTCTAATTAAGATCACCTCATGTCTATCAACATGGATGCAGGATTTTCAAGATAGGATTTCCAGACATTAGAAAACCTGGCCATGACTGCGCCTTCGATTATTCGGTGATCCGCTGACCAACTGACATTCACTATATGAGCCTTATAAACTTCTCCGTTTTTATCAAATCGTGGTATGACCTGTACGAAATAAAGCAACTAAGTTAGTATAAAAAATACGGTTGAAATTTGTTCGCAATGTTGACACTCGATGTTGCGAGCCATGTCACAAGAAGCAATTTTCAGTTTCAAGCAATGTTACTGAAGTAGAAAGCGATTCTATTTCAGGACTATTGCTCGTAACATTGCGCACAATGTTGTATCGTGTGTGCGCGCCTTTTCTTTGGTGGAAAAAATTCGGTAAAGGGAACATTGGCTACTATAACGGGCAACCCCATCATGCGGAGTTCGGTCACAATACAAAGTTGAACTCTTTTCATTTTAATTATTAAAGCATATTTTATCTAAACATTAACCCCAAGAGCGAAAGTGCTCATTCAGGGAAATTCTATTTTCCAAAACGACACACTAAAGACAGCACATTTACAATGCCTAAGGAGAAGTCAGTGACAAATAACACAAGAAACGAGCTTGGGTTTCCTACCTGTACTCTGCCTATGGCACCGATACCAACGTTTGGCGGTAAAAGAACCGGCTTGGCGTATGTCCCCCCAATCTATGATTCAATCAAAATAGATTTAGTTAAATTGACAAACAATATTGACTCAATCGCTAATGACGGGTCAACGGTAGAGTATAGTACATCGTCAAGGCGTATTGTTTCCTTTCGTTCAACATTAATTGCCATTGATTGTGTTACATCTATTTTTTTTCCCCAAGGGTATGACATTTGGTCGCAAAAGGGAAAACTTTATGCCCGAAAGTACATGAAAAGTCCATATTCGAAGAAAAACATTTTATGTTTTTTTTTTTTTTGTTTTAAAAAAAAAAAAAAAAAAAAAAAAAAAAAAACCCGTAGTCGGAATCGTCGGATTGCATTATGACGCGGAAGTGAAAATGAAAACTGTCGCAAGACCCTTATGGCCACAAAAATCCGATCCAACCAAAAAGAAATAAGTTAATCTGCCATTTACAGAAAAGTAAGGTGTGCTAGGGCTAGCACTTTTGATTGGTGTCCCCTGGGGAAAACATTGTCTCTAGTATCACAGCTAACCTAGCTTTAGGTATATGCCCTCCAAGTAAAACCACCTTTTACAGTCAACTGTGTCGATTCTAGTGTCTTAAATCATTATTACTTACCGAACCAATATTAGAAAGAGAAAAGGTCCCACCAGACAGATCGTTAGGCGCAAGGAGACCAGAAAGACCCTGGTGATGCATTCTATTCAAATCTATTGCTATATCATATAGTGACTTCATCTGGACATTCTTGACGTTGGGCACTAGAAGACCCTGACTCGTATCCATAGCAACGCCAATATTGTGTGCACCCTTGGAAAAAAAAATACAACAGTACTAAATATTTTAATAAGAATCATTGCGAAGCACGGGTGGAGTAGTGGCGAGAGCGTTCACCCTTCATCAACCTTCATAACCTGCGTTTGGTTCTCCGTTTCGGTGTCATATCCAGCTGAAGTGACCCTCAGAACGAACTCAAGGTCAACCAATTAGAATATTGAAGATTCGGCAACGTATTTTGATTAGCATTTTCCATGATTCTGCTAGTCGATTGACCTTTAACATTATGACGTCACAGCTTGTTTACATGGACAAGAATGATAAGAATGTAGGCGAAATGTTCTTTCGTTCGGGATATTTAGTACAACATTTATCTGTTATCACCTTTCCACATCTAATTAACCATTTTTTATTGTGATTTAATTCGTTTTGCTGCTATTTTGCCCCCTCTGGCGACCATGATCCTTAGCGTTAAAACAATAGATTGTTTTGATGTGACGTCATAGTGTTATGGGGCACCAGGCAGAAGTCCACTTCAATTGACAAGGGAAATCTACATTGTACTAGGCCCCTGCTCCAAAAATGCTAACCAAAATAAATGACACACAATTCCTTTCGAGGAAATCGGGCAACGCAGCTGGATGAGAGTATAGCTGCTCCTGGCCTTCGTCGACATGCGGACAGCTGGTGCTAATAAACTGGTCAAAAGAAAGTGCGCAAACTAGCGATAGCTCTTGTAGTAGTATACATGACGCTAATAATCCAAACAGCCTATTCTAAGCTTAAGCTATTCGAAAGACATATCTCCCGAGGGGGGGGGGGGGGGGCCTTTCTTGGAAAGTGGGTAGGGGAACTCGACGGACATTTTAGGGTCAAAAATGAGACCTCGCGTACCTTTTAGGGTCTCCGACTGACTCCCGGGTGACTCCGTACCTTTTAGGGTCAGATTTGTTCGTTTCGAAAAATATCAAACGTCATATCAGGATATAATGGTTGGAAACGTTGTCATTTTAAATGTGGTCATACCTTTTATCTCAGTTAATTTATGCGTACCTTTTAGGGTCATTTTCAAAACCGTCAGTCGAGCCCCCCTACCCACTTTTCAAGAGAGTCCCCCACGGACATATCCCTAAGATACCTTGTAGGTAATCTGCGTACAATCAGCATCTACACAACTGTTGAGGATTGGAAACTGATGCAGAGCTAACGATGCCGCCTTTATGAAGAAGGGCATGAATGACAGCTTGACACCACGAGACTCCATCAATGGCTTCAACTGTGTTCTGAGTCTGAAACAATTAAAACCGACAATCGATCATGGCTAATGTTTAGAGAAAAGCCTTTGGCTTCATGCAAGTAAATTCTTATATCTCTGTTTCAAATAACAGCCACAATTAGATTAGTGATTGGTGAAGATACCTTTATTATGTAATAAGAAGAGATAACTAGCTAAAAACTAGTGTGAGCTGCGTCGGTGTTTCTAATGAAACAGTAATGATAAAAAGGTAAATTATACACCGTGAAAAGATGAAAAAAACTTACTGACGTTTCGGACGCTAGTCCTTCGTCGTAGCACAAGAAAATTTACCCTTAATCATGTAATGATTATGATGATTGTAACATCAGCATTTATAAAATAACTGAGTTCTAGCGCTCTGATTGGTTGAAATGCCACCATGTATGAGAGTATTATGATGCTGACATCGCTGTTTCTTTTTTCGAACGCTCTAAATTTGCACTTTAATACAAGAACGAAACAGTATTCTTTGCGGCTACCGAAGCGACTGTCGATGGTCGCCTCTCACTACTGTGGTCCGAGTTTGAGCCCTGGCTCAGACTGGATCATATGTGAGTTGAGCTTGTTCGATGTATTCTTCTCTCCCTTACCAACGGGGTTTTCTCCATGTGAGTCGAGTGTTGTATGTTGTAAATATACAATGTAGTGGTAGTGCGTGTGGAGGGAACCTCACGCAAGAGCCCCGCATAAGCGACTACGCATAACATTTTGCAACATACCGTCATGAGCTCGGTATTGTGAGACACAGGAAGCGCATGTATCTCGCTCCTGTCCTAATGTGCCTGCCGTCCGCAGTCGTCGTATCTCAAAGTCCCTAATATCACTTACTTTACAAGATCATCTAACAGTATCTCATCACAGTATCCAAAGTGAGGTATTGCTAAAGCTGCTGTCATCGTTTTAGCCATGACTTTCCTAATTCCTTTGATTTCTTCTACTCTATCTTGTGGAATAGCATCAGATGTGAATACTGGTGGGGTGTAGACTGGACTTGGTATTGGTGCTGGTTTTTCTGGGGCTGGAGCAGCCGCAGCTGGTGATAATAATTAGCATAAGAGCAGTTTTTACGCATGATTGTGAAAAGTTTGATGCCGTATGCGTGTCTTGCGGCGATATTTTCGAGAATTTTGATTGGCTGAATTGTTGTTGCACAATGTAATTGGTGTGGCAGTGCCGTGACCTTGTCCGCGCAATGTTCATCCCCTGTTCAGTGTATTTGATTGGATGGAGTGTTAATTCTCGTGCAATATGATTGGTCTGGCGTATGTCTTGCCATGTCATCTGATGACCACGTTCGTGTCGAAAGCTTTTCGGTCATAAGAAAACTGCTCTATTCATTCTCATTAGTTAGATGCATGTCATTTATTTTATGACCACAGACTAAAAGAATAGCTATTCTCTGTGATCCAGCTATTCTTATAGAGCTTCCATGTGTTCAATAGTGCACATGATAGTCGTCTAATACTAATGCAAGTTCTTGTATGACAGAACTGAAACCACTGTGTTTCACGACTGAAGATTCTGCACAGGCTGCCTTAGCCTCGTTTAATAGCAAACCACTTGCAAAAGTCAACTGTAATGTAAAGAATGTGCAAGTTGAACAATACCAACGTTTTGAAATCTCACAGACGTTTAATGGTACCTGTGAATAGCTGACTTATAAACGAGACAGCCTGTGCAAATGAGTCAGTAGTCTTCAAAAACATTACTGTCTCTAACTCTGATACAGACAGCAAATATGGTAACACTTTACATGTCTACTAATAACATACACAACAGACATACCTGGAGCTGCAGTAGCTGTTTTCATTTGTTTAATATAATGTAGAACATCTTCCTTCAAGATTCTTCCATCCTTTCCAGTACTTGGAACATTGCTTAAGTCAATCTAATAAAAATATTAGTTGGAAACTTAACTCCATAATGTCAATTATTATACCAACATTACATTCAATTCTTTGTCCAACTTCCAACTTTATCACCCCAACAAGGTTAAGGGATAAAACAAAATGAACTGTCATCCTGAATGGGAACTTTTCTGATCAAATCCTTATCTTTGCCTGTCATTTTCGCCAATATCGTTGTGCCAGAAATGAGGTATTACCAAGCTAAGCTTGATTTGGTTGGTGATCATGACTGGCAACTGACCGGCCATTATGTACAGCCCTGAGGTTAGAAATACATTCTGTGGGAATGCAGAAACACATAACACTAATAATACAAACCTGGTTTTCCTTAGCTATCTTGCGCACTGCAGGAGTGGTCAAAACCTTGCCGCTTCTTTTAGTAACATTAGACTCTTGGTATGCTGGTTGACTTGGGGCAGGAGGGGAGGGTTGAGGGGGGATGATCTCTTGGGTGGGTCTTGAGGGTGGTGGAGGAAGACTTTGATCTATTGCTTGGGTTGGCTGTGGTTTCTGTTGGGCAGCCATGACATCTTCTGCTGGACTTCTGTCACCATTGTCAACTATATTTTGTACAATGCATACAATTATTACATTCAACAGATACAAATGATGGCTACCTGTGGTGGAGCCAACACAGGTAACCCATAATAAAATTCTTTATATTACAAATTGGAATGTTTTTTCCCACATTCACTTAAAAAAGATATCTCTGATACTGTTTGCCAAACAGGCATTCCTTATCTATCTCATATTTTCCTAAAAGTTATCTTTTCCTATTAGTGGGCTACTTGTGCCAATTTGACCAGGAGATTATCAGTCTCCTTCTTCAAACAAATTCCACAGGAATGCCAAAGAACAATGAGTTAACTGAAGATAAGGCTAGTTTTTATTTGTAGAACAGTAACTGCACTTGCCTGTTGTCTCGGCAGTGATTTCAATATCAACCAGAGGCTGATGAACCCTGGCCATGTCCTCTACTTCATAGTACAACTTTGTAATAACACCATCATATTTACTGGTGATGGTCACAGATGCCTAGAAATAAATCCAAATTACTACTTAACAGTAATCGAAAAAAAGTTTGGAATCACATTTATACCATATCCTTATGTGACATTCTTACAATTAATTTCATTTGATAAGTATATACTACAGAACTATATCACTAATAACTACTAATTTATTTATTTATTTAATTTATAAATTAAACATGATGCATTGTGGTATTGCTTCAGTACAAACAACACCATATAAGGCATGATGAACAAAATATGTTTTTTCACTGAAGCTAGACCACTGATAACAAGAATGATTGGCGTAATGAGACAGAGCACATCAGGAGCAGACCCAGGGTTTTTAAAATGGAGGTGGCAGTTATTAGATACCTCGAGCCAATACCACAGGAACCCCAGGCAGGAAAATGGAGGAAATGTGGTGCCTCAAATTGTAGGAAATTAAATATGAAGTAAGTCTCAAGTAAATTGGTCTGGATGAAATGTTTTCAGTGTATTGGGAAATATATGTTCTCTTTATTGAGGGGAAGGGCCGTGGGGCTTCAGAAAGTCATCAGTAAATAATTTGTGCAAAAGTGTGTGTGGGGGGGGGGGGGGGGAAATGAATAGTCATCCCCTCACCACCCCTGGATCCATCCCTGCACCTCCAAGTTAGCTTGTGACGTAAAGGAGAGTATACCTTGTCACTCTGAACTTCACAGATACTATCAAACTGAGCAACATGGTCACCTGGATTCACGTACCTAGAATACAAAAAATATGGCATACATTAATATCAAAGTGGGACCTTGGACGAAAATCGCTCCAAAATGAAAACTCTTTCATTTGAGCTGAAACTTTGCTGAAATAATCTTTGATACATTAATAATCACTCACTGAAATATCTTTCTGATATTCGAAAGAAAAGTGCCCAAATTTTATTGTTGATTTTCGTCTGCCATTAATTTGTTTGTCTCACGGCAAAAGAGTCATTATTACAGCCACTTTCATATATCAAAATTAAACAGATTATACAAAATTCCAGATCTCCAAACCCATCATAATCATGCATGTTTTCCCATTTTAGGGCATGTTTTTTTTCTATAGTATTATTTCCTTGTTTTATGGCTGCAAATGAGATTGGTACATGAATATGTGTACAACTCAAACAAAGAAATGTATAATTTTCTTGAGAGTGACATATGGTCTGAAAGGAAAAACACTAAGCATGGAAAAGGTAAAGACGTTTGGTGCCAAGAGTCGATAAGCCAGAACAAAGATATGCTACACTGTCCATCAAAAGTGCAATATTCATATTAATACTGCTTTCAAAAACTCATGAATAATTCATAAGCCTTTCATCCAATGAGGATGAGAACTTTATATATATAGATTTCATCCTTATTAGTATTGTGCAGTCCCAGAAATTATCCATACTCCCTCAAGGAGAAATTTTTTAGAAAGAAAAAAAAGAAAAAAAATGCTGGCTGTAATGCTGTGTGAAGTTGTAAAGCACTTGGGGATTGGCAGAAGCACTTTTATACATGTCATGCTTCCTCATATCACCCCTCTTGTGCTCTTCCAACCCGTGTGCTTTATAGCTACACACAGCATGTGCGCACATTTTCTCTTTCTTTAATAATATCTAGGTCAAGCTTACCATTCCTTAAGGGTAACTTCTGCAATACCTTCTCCAATGTCTGATAACTTGAATGGAAGGACTTCCCCAGCTAGGGCTAAATAAAAAAAATACCTTAAGAAGTATACTCTACAGATTTTTCATGAACAAAAAAAATTAAGTATAGAAGTTAATTGTTATGTACAATTTGTTTGTAATAATTTAAAGTGCCTATCAACCTTAGCCAATTGCTGTTTTTCCTAAAACTATACCTCATAATTAAAGGTTTTTCATTTAAAAAAAGTCATTTCGATATTTTGCTTTATTTAAAATCCCAATCGAAATCACTGTCTTCTTACTCAAAAACGCGCAAAAAGAGGACTGGGCACTAATAAGACCCGTGACGTCGACCCGGTATCACACATCGGCGCGTCTGTATGATTACAGCGATTGTCTTTATAACTTCTCTACGCGAYCTCTATTTTTCTTGGAAAAAAAACTTTTCCTTTCAAATTCTTTTTAAAATGTCGAATGCAGAAACCGATTCTTCATGTAGTAACGATTCGGATGATTCTGAGACCGATTATTTACCTGAGTACCTGTTGGAAGTTGAAGGTCAACAAGACGATCTTGAACAACAAGACACTTCTGCGTCRACAAGGAAAGGGCTAACAGCTGTCGATTATTGCGATGTTTTTCAACCATATACCGATGAGCCGATTGCAAGCGAGGAATGGCTTGAAGAATATAGAAGTCAGCAAGAAATTCAACAAGAATTTGAACGTAAACTGCAGAGTCGATCTGATGAAATGGAAGATGTAAAGTTGTGGTAAGTGTGCGAGTTTGATCACGAACTCACGATGTTCWCCTAATAATATTTCAGTTCGATAGCTTAGTTTTATCTCATCTCATTAGGTGCAAGTGTGGAAATTGCCAAACCGAGTATCTTCAAAATCCAAACRAATACCAGTGCTGTCTGGAAATCGAAGAATGTGTTGAATCGCTTTCTAGCGACATAGTTCGAGAAGAATGTCTTGAAATTCCAGACTGCATCACTCTTCATCCTGGTTTTGAGCAAGTTTGCCTTTCTAAATGGAGTTTAAGATTAGCMGCCGACAAATACAAGACAAAAGTTAAAAGTAGATACAGTCAGACTGGATCAGAGGAAAGGTAACGTATATAATATTATAGCACAATACACCACAACTCGATTCTCTCAAAACTTGTAAAAGTTCTTATTTCAATGTCTCCAGATGAGAGATCTTAGTAGATCTTAAGTATGATCTCTTATCTAGGGACCTTGAAATGAAAAATTTTCTTAGTTTGAAGAGATTTGAGTTTTGGGGTGGCACAACATTACATCTATAAATACGATTTACAAGCCCACTTAAGGCRTACAGTATTGTCTTTATTTCGTTGTTACGTGTATAAGTTTTTGACTGGGAACACGAAGCAAAAGTTAAAATATACCATTATTTTTTCTTCCTACTTGGTTGTAAGCCCTATCAGTTATAARCCGATATTTGGAAGGAAAAAACACTTACGAATGAGGGCTTATTAGCTGGGATTTTTAAGTTTCCCCAAGTTATAGTTTTGAATTTTTTTTTTCATCAGGTTCCTGCGTAGTATTGCATATAGGGAATTCACACGCCTTGTCCATGGTTACTTGGGTGGAAGAAGAATACCTTTGCCAGCTTGTGCATATAACAAAATTAGAGAAAAATTTAATGACAATGAATACATTGGATTYGAAGTTGAGGAGAATGATGAATAAATATTTCATGTCAATTATAATCATCTCTATCATTGAGATAATAGTATACTAGGACAGAAACACTAATATGTGAAATAGATATTGTAGCAAAAAATCAGTGCAAGTATCTTTCTTTCATTTTTATCATTTCTATTTGACACAAATTCGTAAGAACTGTATAGTACTGTATAAGGTTAGTGTTAAAAAATTGGTTTCAATATATACAAGTTTATTTCAATACAGTAAGTCATTAAWAGATAGTTATCGAGCACTTGAAACATATGAGATGTATTGAATGTACCCATAATCATTGTTGGTCTCAACTTTGACTAACTTTATTGAATGATTTAAAAACTTTACTAGTTAGCATTTTTCTGATTTCTAGGGCAATCTGTTACATATTTATGTCCTTTCATTGGGTTTTTGCAGACTGAACACTGTGGGGTCTTAGTTGGCCTTGGAATTTCTGTCTCTGAAACTGAAATAACAAATAAAGTATAATATTCAATAGGGTCAACATTCAAAAAGCTATAGACTGTGATGCATACCAAAGATACCTGATGCTGTAGGGGGAACATCAACAACTTTCATCTCTTTCCTCTGTTCCCTAATTTGAATTGCCACTGCCTTGTCCTGCTTTTCAAGCATGGTGTTCATTGGTTTAGGGGTCATGTTTTTCAGTTCCTCAATAGCAGTTGCTAACTGGCCATCTTGGTGTGCCACGAGAAAAGACTGGTAGATATCCTCTACATATTCTGTTATTTGAAAATTAAAGACAAAAACTACAGTTACTATATTATTTTACTAATATGATTCTCCATAGAAGCATATACATCTGTACCTCACTATGAYATGTAAGATAAGATAAAATAACTAACCAAAATGTGGTTTTACTCTGACATCACGCACAGTCGCTTCCCCATTTTTGAATTTGGGCCAGATTACTTTTACTTGATCTGACCCATCTGGTCTCTTCCTGATGTCACGCTGCAAGTTCAAATTAAAGTGCAAGGCCGCAATGATATGCCTTAAAAGTAAAAGGATAAAAGATACAGTTACTACAAGCCTGACACTAACTTAAAGTTATTTCTTTCCACTTATTGCATTTTATGCACCTTGACCTTACATATATACCTATTTCAAAAGAGGTTTTTTTAGTCATTCCAAGACCAGCTGGAATGAATTGTGTTTCTGCTTCTTATACTCATGAAGATCACAAAGTTTCCAGTATCGTTTGTATTCAAAAAAACTTGTGATAGCCTAAATTTTTGCATCAGGTTGAATGCCCATAATTTCTTAGGCTCTAATACCTGTTTTTGAAATAGGTGTACATGTATATATCCTTGCAATTTACGTACCTGCAATACATTCCAACATAGGAATAAGCTATCATCTTTGGAGAGAAGTAGTTCACCACCGAATGAAAACCTTCGAGACAGCTTGTCTGTGCAAGTGGTGAGGCTTGCTTTATTGCATTTACCAAGGAGGTTTTACCCAGCGATTTACATATTTTTTCATAAACAGGAGAATCTATAGGATTAATAATATGAAAAAATTTTAAGGCAAATTGACATAGATGGTACATGTATCTATTGCTTTATTTATTAAATTGGCATTTCAAAACTGACCTTTATTTAACCATTTCCTTTCTTGTAATTCACCATTTGCACATTTGTCAAACAGTGGGTCATCCAACTTATCATGTTTGTTAATGATATGGCTAAGGAAGGACTTGAACTTGGCATATATAACCTTGCTATTCCCTGACAAAGTGGAAGTAGCACTCCAGTAAAAATGGTTTTGACAAGGCTTTATCCACTCAACCAAACCAGAACACCCACTTTCTTTACTTATTTTTGTTAGAACTTTGTGGATTTCTGCAATATTAAAAGTGATGGTAATTAATGAGACTGTTTTTCCTATGCCTTGTTGTTATATTGAACCAATGAATAAAAATGAGCTTACTTTTCTTTAAATGCCAAAGGTCAAAATAGTGTGTGATGTGTGATAGCTGTTCCCTCGTGTACTTTCTGATAGACACATGCCGGTCTGTTATTATTGTGCCAATAGCAAGACCACTACCAAGGAGATAGCCCATGCAGTTCTTGAAGCCTAGGAACTCCATAGCCGTGCTGCTACCAGCAACATTTCTCTATAAAAACAAAGTGGTAAAGTGATGTTTCAAAAATAAAACATGATTATTGCCAGTATATTGGCAACAAGAGAAAGCTTTGTCTAAATTTTATGACTTGGAAGGGCAAAATCAACCTCTAAATTCCAATTCAGTAATGGAATGAGSGGCACAAGTTTGTCAGCCACAGGCCATTAAGTGCTAAAAATCTAGGGCATTAAAACACTGTATATTGCTGATTTTGCWAATGCTACCTACCTGAACAAGTGAAAAGGCGATGATCAGAGGAATAGTACAAGAAAACACGGTGTAAGCTCCATATTTGGCACTGTGGCCCATGCTGTCATGGCGAGCGTCACCAGCAATCACAAGAGGGGTAGCAAGTGATTTCAATTTCTCCAAAACATTTTCTTGGTATGATTTCCAAAACAGATGAATYGCTGGAAATAGCTTTTCCTAAAAAGAAAAAGTAATATTGTTAGTAATATTGTTATGGAATAAAATATCATGTAACAGTAAGACAAGAGTCTTACTTATTACAGTATATTTACAACGGTTTGATTTTTTCTGACACAATGCATCAAACAATGAACAATGTGTTGTACTTATAGATATGAAGAATTATACTTCCAGTACAATTATTAAGAAGCATTAGTAACAGTTATTTACTCCTGATTTCCCGGTGCATGAAGGTCATTGGAAATTAGTTACGATGAATGGCTTGCAATCATTAACACAATAGAAGTACAGGGATCACATTGAATATCATACTGGTACTCACATTKTGATGTTTGAAGAAAGTTGCCAGTGAGAAACAGCATAGCCCCATATGCTTGAACATCTGAATGGTCTTCGATGCCGAAGCCCCAGAGAGAAGAATGGCAAAAGAAAGCAGGAAATTTCCGGCAGGAATTTTTGTCCCAGTCATATTTGGCTGACTTTTCCATACAACAWCTCTCGAATGGCAGTTCTTATTTCCACAAGTTGATGTGACTACAACCATAGTACCCACTTGCTTTGCTTCTATAAGAGGGCCATCTGCTTTACAAGTATGGCAAAAGCGAAAAAGGAGAAGGAGCTGTGACCAAAACACAATAAACTTTGGTTGTGTTCTGAGGTTTTCATCATTGSAAAAAACTCTGTAAAGATAAAAATAAATTGGTTTATAAATAAATTTTCATACTCATTTTACTTGCTATTTCCATACCATCTTGAATATTTTYCCCTAAGTTAGGTTACTGTACCTGCTCTCTTCTTCCTGGGCATCTTCATTTTCTGTTTCAGGGTCCGTCTCAGATTCCATCTCGGTATCATAGTTGGCATCTGATGAAAAGTCTGGCTCTTCTTCCATGGTGTCATCAGAATCAGACTCATCATCAACATCATCATCAACATCATCATCACCATCATTTTCATTCTCTTGGGAAATTTGAGGTTCAGATATTATTTCTGTAGATATAACATTTAAAATGATATAAGTGCTGATTGTCATGTTCACCAACCACTCATGTCTCATAACTCTATATCCCCTTACCAGAACATGCAAATACATGTAAAATGGGCTGTTTACAGTACGTTATATTGCTATAGCAGATGTAAATTATGTAATGTAGACAAATAGAGCGACATACCTGTTTCTTGAATTTTAGTTAAAGCTTTTTTAGTAGATTTCAGCTCGTTTTGACAYTTTTTAATTTTTGATCTCACGGTTATAAGCTGGTTTCGAAGCTGTCGATTACGACTTTGGAGCCTTGTGCAACTTTGACATGCATCTTTAGTCTGATCCTCAGTTTGCGTAAAACTGTCTTGTGTCTGATGAAAAAAGAATGTTACAGATTTTATATAAATATGATAGATCCATGAAAGATACTAGTACGAAAATTATTCAAGGCCTTGTTTCTTTTTCTTACATTTCCTGAGATTTCCGCATCGAATCCAGATTCAGCTTCAGCCTCAATAGTACAACACTCTGCATCGCCATTTTGTTTTGGCTCCTGTTCTTCTTGTATAGATGCCATTCGGCTCTTTGTGCTCTTGAGAGACTAGGGGAATATAATCCGAGTTATAGATTTAGATATTTAGATTTGTTATTAACGAATAAGGAGTAAAACAATGTTTTTATTTTAGATCCGTTCTTACCATTCTTYGATCTCGGCTCGATTGGGCCTCCGTCTTTTCTTTCACAGTCGCGGCTGAGGACAAAGACTTTGCGTGTACACTTGGGATGGCTGTGACTCCAATATCATCCCTAAYCAGTCTTGGGATGATCGGGCGATTTGTCACAGTATCTGGTAAAGCATAGCGCCTCATGAAATCCTCGGGACTAAAGTGCAGAGAACACAGAGTCGAGTTCTTGGTTGGTTCCCATTTGGCACGTTTCTGCTTCACGAACTCAACCCATTTTCGCCTTCTTTTCTTTGCCTCTGGCCTTTGGTCGTTCAAATATGGAATACTATGCAGAACAACTCCTTTCTCTACATCGGCGAAGTTAGAACAACCGCCTGCAACACATCTATTCGGCATTTTTTAAAACTCTTTATTCTCGAAGACATATACACAAAGACGCATATCAACTAAACAACGTGCAAGAATGAGATACCGGGTCGACGTCACATAATCATTTAGTACCCAGTCCTTTTCTGTCGCGGTATGAAAATCGAAGGGGGCGAGAATTCCTGGTTTTACGGGAATTCATGTGCTCATTTTTCAAAGGGAATAAAGGAATTTACTTTTTTTCTTCGAAATATGTTTAAGAAACACACAAAGTTTCTATTAGTATGTACTTTGGCTAAGGTTGATAGGCACTTTAAAATTTCATGGTTATGTATCCATTTATTTATACCTGAAGACGTTCTAAGATGACGACGTCCAGCAAACCCTTTTTCCACCTAACATAAGCAGTAAAATAAGTATCAATAATTCAAATACATTGCTTTGGTTTTATAAAAAAAATTAATATTGTTACACGACTTACCTGAGACGACGATGTTCCATATTTTTTTGTTACTACTGAAGAAACACGACTGATATTTCTAACATGTCTGCCCAGCTGAAAAAAAATACAACCCAGAGAGTTTGAAAATTTATCGAGGAAGAGGTATATAAAGGTTTTGATTTAGAAAGTTACCTGGTTTGTGAATAAAAACCATGTTTTTTGGTTTAAATATCTCCTGGAAAGAAGAACTCTGGCGGTCATTTTGGTCAACGTGGTTCCCAGCCACGCATGAGTCAACGTGGTTATCCGCTGGTTTATCGACGGGCTGAGCATGTCTGGAAAACATTGAAAAGGTTTTGGAGTAAATTTTGACTTTTTAATGAAATAAATAAGCAAAAATGAGCAATATATACATCCAGGAGCCTCCTACTAATGGAAAAGTAAGTTATTTACGATCATTTTTATGGTTTAATTCTTGTTTGAGTATTTTATTGTTTCCTCGTGAGTTTGACATGCCAGTAATGGAACTAGCTTGCTAGATCTGCCAAACAACATGAGGACGATTATGATTGTATGGCCAGTATGACACTTTAGACTTGCACATGTAGAGTTTGACATCTGAAATCGGCCTTAATAGAAATAGCTGAGTAAATGTTTAACTGTGAAGTTCTACAAAATCCCCTTTGAACAGTTCGGGTACATGTACCTCACTTAGCATATACACAGTTTAAAGTCTTATATTATATATGATCTAGCTATTCTTCGATTGCACATTATGTCATCGCGGACATGTTGGTGCCATTTAACAAAAGATTTCTTATTAGCATCCATTGTTAGCGGCACCACAATGGCCGCCATGCTTTTGTCTTTAAACTCTCTTGGGAATGCTTGCAACCCATCAATAGGTTGATGTTAAGAATGAACAATGCACCACATGATGAATTAACATTGCTCCTCTTCACATGACACCCATGTTGGCTAGAACAATAGAATTTTCCCTTGAATTTTCCCATTGTACAATGCGCTGGATGTCTATCCCGTGCAGTAAATGCGAATGTAGTTCTTGTACGGTCATGCACTTTTTGTTCCAGTTTAGGCTGTTATATTGAACATTGTAGTTCAAACTTTACAGTACAGTAAAAATAAATGGTTAAAAATGTGTTTTCAGCTGTTTTTCTGACACCAATAAGGACAGTTTTGTCCGTCCCAACGGTGTCCTTATTAACGGAATTCCACTGTATTACATATAAACGAAAAAGAAGTAATTGCTAATGCTATCAAAAATATACTTCCATTTTGAGTTCACCTTTGCTCAGCCGTAGCCTTGATGGTACATGTGCAAATGTGTTCTTTTCTTTTATTAAGGTCCATCGTATACATGTAGTAAGGAATGTATGCACTACGGAACAATACAAGTTGATTAAAATGCCACTGGTTTTAGCTGAATATACTGTAGCTTAATTTTATAATGCACAAATGACTTAGAAAAAAAAGACTAAGACTGAGCAAAGAGGACTTGAAACTGGAGTGTTGGACCTACTCTAATCCATGACCTACATGTACTCTATATATGATGAACATATTAGACATGTTTTTTTAACCCATATCATATCTGCTCATAATATTTCAGGTTTTGTTAGAGACATCTGTTGGCGATATTGATATAGAGCTTTGGAGTAAAGAAGCTCCTATGGCATGCCGGAACTTTATTCAGCTATGCTTGGAACATTACTATGATGATACTATCTTTCACAGAATTGTAAAAGGTTTGTAATTAAGGGGTGATGATATCGAATGTAAGGATTTCAGATTCGATGTATATATTTGATAAAACATGACATTTCGATATAGATCAATTATCAATACTCCTTATTATATTATTGTCTGAATATTATAAAGTTCCATTGTAATTAGCTCGGCCGATATTGACTGCTGATATTTTATTATAATAATTCATGCAATTTCTTCTTAATTTTTTGCTAATATTTCTTTTTTTGTTTAACATAAAGGGTTTTGTATTCAAGGAGGTGATCCTACTGGCACAGGCTTTGGTAGGTGCTTGAGATAAAACGTACACATGGTGAAAGTTTTTATCCATTTGAAAGAAGAAAATGAATAACATTTATCTTAATTAGAGTGCTTTTAGTCTTACTGTTGAATAGTTAGATAAATTTATCTAACTTAGATAACTATTTAGTTGACGTCACCTAAAATAGTAAAGTGCTCCAAATAACGGTCATGCTAATCCGGGAGGTTGTTTTACCAGAGAATGAGTGAATAGACATTCATTCGTATCATCGTTTCTCCCCTGATCTCAGTAGCTGTTTACTCGTAGTTTCAAATTTAGGTGACGTCACCTAAAATAGTAAATAACTTATCTAATTTAGTTGACATCACCTATTCAACAGTGAGACTAAATTTGACTAAAACATTCTTAAGTAGAGCTTTTACCTGGATGAAATCTAAGCATGTCTGTCATTGGTCAGACATTAACTTGTTTAATAAACAAAAGAGTTATTCTTTAATCCAAACAGGTGGGGAATCTGTATATGGTAAAAGGTTTAAGGTATGACTTTTTCTGTTGTTAAAGTAGTTGTAGTAGTGTGAGTGGGTTACCTGTGGTCAGAATTCCAAAGGAAGCCCAAACGTTTTAAAGTGAAGGAGCAAGTATTGTTTAAAATTATTTGTTTTTTTTGTGTGCGTGTTTTTTTTGTTTATTTATTTTATTTATTTGCATATAATATTTTATAAGTTTTTTTTATTCTCATATTCTATGTTAGGATGAGTTCCATCAGAGGTTAAAATTCAATAGGCGTGGTCTGGTTGCCATGGCAAACTCAGGACCAAACGACAATGGCAGCCAGTTCTTTTTTACTTTGGACAGAACAGATGATCTGAATGGAAAGCATACCATATTTGGCAAGGTACATACATGTATGCAAAACTTATAATCTGTATGCATGCATCCAGTGTACTGTTAGATTTTACTTGTGAGCTGTCCATGTGACCAGTCAATGTGACCAGACCATGTGACCAGTCCCTGTGACCAGTTCATGTGACCAGTCCATGTGACCAGTCTGTGTGACCAGTCCATGTGACCAGTCCATGTGACCAGTCCATGTGAGCAGTCCATGTGAGCAGTCAGTGTGACCAGTGAATTTACACTCAATGTGACCATGCAGTCCATATGACCAGTCAGTCCATGTGACCAGCCAAGAAGACCAACCTAAGAGTTGTCTGATTGGTCAAGTCTCATTTTTGGCCAGTGATCATTGTCCATTTGCCTTGCATTATTTTTAGCCCTGCTGTTATCAGCTTTGACTTTATATAAATTTTTTCCATTATTATTCAGATTACTGGAAATACCATATATAACATGTTGAAAATGGTTGATCTAGAAGTAGATGATAATGACCATCCTCTTTACCCACCAAAGATTAAAAGAACAGAGGTAACACATCAAATGAATAATTGATAATGCTTCCTTAATCAAACATCAAGATTTTTTATAAAAAAAGATTTGTCGGATTTATTGATGGATAAGTAGACATTTCTTATTTTTCTTATTTGTGTTAAATAGTTTTTGAATTCATTTGTAAAATTTTATCTGTTCTCATACAAAGCCATAGCCTGCGTGCATACTGAATTTAACTTAAACTTGGTCTGCATGCAGGATAACAAAGTCAATGTGTACTGTAATTTTTCTTACATATTGTTAATTTGCTGCAGGTATTGTCCAACCCTTTTGATGACATTGAACCAAGAAATAACAAGATGAAAAAAGACGAGGCTCTAGCACCTAAGAAACCTAAGGCCAAAGGCACCAAGTATGGACTGCATGACTGTTCTTGATAATAAGTCAAATAATTTTATTCACACTTCTGGCAGTAATCATGTACCTTATGACTAGCCAACTTGTTTCAGTCAACATTCCCACAACTGTCAGCTTTCTGTTAGTTGACTGAGGGTTGGCCAATAGTCAGGCAATGCACAGCCAAACTGCCAGCCGATTATTGGCCAATGCTTGGCTAACCAACAGATGAGACTAAGGATGCTTGAGTCTTGTCGTGGACAAATTCAAGGCTGCCATGCAGCAGACAGTTGGGTACTCAGTAGTGACTGCAGAATGAAGGAATTGTCAAGGAATTGTTGAAATAAAGTATGAATAAGGCAGGTTAAAAAATTTGAAACAGTAAGAAGAACAACTTTATATAAGCTCTTGTGAACAATTTGACATGATTGGTGATTTCTGTTTACTGTGTGTAAGTATACAGAAAATGCGGAATCATTGTGCAATCGTCATTCAAAATGGTCAAATAATCAGTACGCGCTAAGACAAAAATATTGTCTGATCGAATAATTGCAATTCATAGCTTTAAAGCTATATATTAAGGCTTCTATGAAGGAGCACTTTTGAAAGGGAGGAGGGTGCCAATCTCTTTTTTTCTCCATAACAGAACTCAAATTGTGTATGAGAATATATATGAAATACTGTATATACTTCTATTGCGGTTGTAATGTATCAATTTGAGCTGATCCTCTCAGTATATGAAGCAACTTATGCAACTGCAAATTGAAAGACTCAGAAAAAAATTCTGAGTCTTGAACAGGATTTGAAACTAAAATTAATRCAAAATATGATGTCACTCCTGTAAAAAGGGTAGGGGGAGGGGGAGGGGGTGCTAAATCACCCACTTCTGCCTCAAACAGTCCTTGAGTTTTCGAGTCTTCTTGACTACGATTGACACAGAAATACTAAGTTTTCTTTCTATTAAAGTGCTGTTAATATTTAATAGAAATTTCAGTTTGTTATCGTTTGGAGAAGAAGCAGAAGAAGATGAAGAAGAAGTAATCAATGTTGGCAAGGTAAAGTAAATTAGTATTCAGTTGCTAGTTTTCGCGAATATCACATAAATCTCAAGCTCTGAATGATTTTGTAACAGTTATGCTGTAAGGCTGCCAATACCCTATTTTTTAGTTATTACCCTTATCATTATATGCATATTGGTGGCATGCACCGCTACGATGCTGTCTCTTGCTGCAGCGTAGCACACGCCGGGGTTTGTTGGTTCCATTCTTGAGAGATGTTCTCTCCTGTTTTTTACTCCAGGTTCTTCATTTCTTCCTTCTGTAAAAATTCTCATATGATTTGAGTGTTGTATGTTGTAAATAGGGACTGTAGTGGTAGTGTGTGTGTGGATCAGTCGATCCTCACGGAGAGTCCCGTACGGGGAAAGATGGTTATAAAATCTATATACGTTTTTCTGTTCTTGGCAGGAATTGAAAATGAAAAGCAGCCATGATGTACTAGATGACCCAACATTAAGTAAACAAACTGTGAATCAAGATGCTTCAAAAGAGGTACTGCAAAATGACAACCTCCCGACCCAATGAATGAGAATGAGAATGAAACTTGAACACCGTGTAAAAAAGGCTGAACTTGTAACATTTCCATCATCACATGATTATGACTCTCAGCTGGGCCGGGTTGTTCAAAGCTGGATTAGCGCTAATCCAGGATTAACTCTATAGGTCTTATTAAGAGTTAACCCAGGATTAGCACTAATCGGGCTTTGAACAACTGGGCCCAGTAATATAGGCTATATATTGTACAGAAATTCAAATTTTCGTACTTAACCAAAACTCGGTTTTACATTCATGCAGATGTTCACCATGCTCGACCTTGTTTTCTTTGCTGTGTAAACAAAGTTTATAACGATTCTGAGTAAAACGTTACCGCAGTAGATAGTCTTTCGTCGGAGTAAAAGATAAACAAACCACTGTTTACTATAGTCAAAAGTTGTATGACTATTAGAAAATAAACAACAACAACAAAACAAAAACAAAACAAAACAAAACAGATATATAGAAAATGAAAATGGGAGAGAAAGAATCTAAGAAGATAACGAAATATCTAAAAGAAAAGACATCCTAAAATGAAGGATAGAGAACAAATTACTGATTGTAAGAATCCTTTCAAGACCTTATTGAAGGCAAGAAAAGAAAACATCAAACTTGACGAATGGATGTATTTTTTCTTAGTCTCATTTTATCGAGAGAGAAAAACACAACTACAACTGAAAACAAACAAACAAAAAAAAAAACAACAGCCACCTTCCCTCACTTCCACTTTGTTATATTTTTATATAATTTCCATTTTAGTTAGTTTTGTAATCGATATAAATATTTATCTCGCAGAAAGACGGTGATAAAAATCTCGGTGAACAAGCTCGGCAAAAGCTCAAGAAACAGACTCAAGAATATGATGATGATTCTAGTGAGGACGAACCGACTGAATCAACAAGCAAAAGGTATTGCTAACACTAGTAAAATAAACCAATGTGCGTATTGATGGGTTGAAAGCATTCCCAAGAAAGTCACTTAAAGACAAAAAGCTGGCGGCCATTTTGGTGCCGTTAACAGTGGATACTATTGAGAAATGTTTTGTTAAATTGCGTGAACGCAGCCCCGAGAGATCTAGATGACGTAGCGTGCAATCGAAGAATTCGAAAACTTGACTAGAATTTTAATATCTAAAACGTGGCCTATTTGCAGTAAAGAACTTCGAAAAGAATCAACAAAGTTGCTAAAAGAAATCAAAGAATCGAGGAGAAAAGCAGCGAACAAGGAAACTGAACCTGAAAGTAAGACTGTTGCATCGAAAGGTGAGTACGAAAAATACCGAGTTGATTTAGAGCATACGACTTAGATTTGAATAAATAAGCGTCACTTGCTCTCTTTGAATTTTCTCATAAGAACCGCGTAACAAACGTGACCGTCTTCATTGTGGAGAGAAATATATATGTACATCTTCACGTGGTAATCCACTTATCATGCTACTCATCCAAAGTTTTGATTGGTTGAAAAAAAGTGCACCGAATAGGTCTTTTGCAAAAACAGGTCACGTGACCCTAACCCCCTCAGTTGTGTCAAAATAAAAATCAGAAATGAAAAGATCACCTAGATATTAGTAAGCTCATAATGTTGATTATAGACGAAATGGCATTAAATACAAAATTGAATATTTCATAATAAGGGTTTGTATGAAAAAAAATGCTGAATGGCATTTTCCCATCCAAAGCTTTTTTCCCATAGAGTGCATATTCATACACTGACGTCTCCACTCTCAGAGAGAAAAGCCGTGAGATAATTTAAAAAGAAGGTAGAAGTGGCGAAAACAACTAGTGGTTTGTCAAATATTAAAACAATGCATCTTCATGTTGTTCTGTTCATCCAGATAAATTATCTCGCGTTGTTGCTGATTTTCGTGCTGAGAGAGACGAATATGTTGCAAAAGTCAAAGGAACAATAAAGGCCAAAGGTGATGGGAGAAGTGAACAAACTTTCTCTCTACTTGCTGACTTCCAAGCCAAACTGAACGAAAAGATAGATGAAGAGAATTCAGATGAAGAAAATTCAGATAAAGATGAAGGAGATGAAAAATCGGATGACATAGGATGGTTAGTTTATTGATTTCTTTGACACTAAAGAAAAGACGTTTGCGCGTGCGTATGTTTCAGAACGTTTTTCAAAAATTCAAAAGACTTTCGCAATCTCATTTAATAAGAAAATCAATCCATTCGGCAGTCAAATTTGTTTTGTATATTTGGCAGTGAAATTTGCATATTTTTTCACGAGATGACTAATTTGCATACAGACTACGAGTTGCACGGACTTTTTTAATCTTGTCCATGTCTGTAAAAACAAGGGCGGATCCAGGGGGAGGGTCGGGGGGGTCGCGACCCCCCTGTCATTCCTGAGGTCAAATGGGCTTCTTGTGGTAAAAATGCGACTGGGGTTCTTTTGCCCACAAAATTTACCCCTGAGACCCCCCTTCAAAAAACCCTGGATCCGCCCTTGAAAAAGATAAAGTGCCTATATTTAACGTTGGTATTTCCTTCATTTTAAACTCAACTGCTATCAATGGAGGCCGATGGAGGATTCAGCATCTTAATGTAATGAAAAAACCTGGAATTTGAAATCTGTTTTCAAGGGCTTTCCTAAGAAATTAATTTATTTCTTTTTGAAAAGAAGATGCATTCTAGAGAGATAACAAGAATAGTCGCCCTCACAGTTCCTTGCGCCATCTTAAAAGGTAGCCCTGCCTTTGCATCGAAGCGAGACGAACGGTGAGCTTGCAATGATAGAGACCTGTGAATAATTGTCCAAGGTGTTAGAAAAGGTCTCTATCATTGCAAGGTCACCGTTCGTCTCGCTTCGATGCAAAGGCACGGCTACCTTTCAAGGCGCTGGGAACTGTGAAGGGGACTATTAGATAAGTCAGTGTGATTAGCCATTCTGAGGTTGAGGAAAAGACTGGGTATAGTTGGAATTACGATGCATTGTGGGACTGTGTTAACGACATATTTGCAATATGGCGTCAAATTCGTCCCCAAATACATCCCCACAATGCACTGCAAATACAGCTCCACTCAGTCCGTTACTCAACCACGGAACGGCTAAAAAGAACACAGGTCATTTGTTATTGTTTGCTAAAGACGTGTATGTCTCTTGGTGTAGGATGACGCACGTATTACATTGTGAAGAAGGAATGAAACAAAAGGTCAAAGACGCAAACATACAAGACGAAGATACCTACGAAATATTCGATCCAAGAAACCCAATCAACAAACGAAGAAGAGAAGCCAGTAAAGAAGCCATGAAAGGAAAAAGAAGAAAAGAAAGATAGGATAAACAAACGAAAAGGGACCATAGCCACACAGCCAACTTGTTTTGAGCTCCGTCTGTTTAAAAGTCGCACGGCAGCCATGTTGTAGCATAAAGAATGATAAGATTTTTAATCCTTTAGGAATAGAAATCTCTTTTAATGCGAAAGCATTGCGTTGTTCATGCCCTGGCTACATGGCTGTCGTGAGCTCATGGCTCATTACTGTCCAGCAATATCATGATCAATTCTCTTAAGGCTGGAGCCAAGAAAAAAAGGCATGGACTTCTCATCTGTTAACTCAATATTGCTTCATTAACCAACTATCGTTTGAAAAACTAGTAAGACGAGGAGTTTCGCGATAGTTGTTGGAACTTGGACTTCCCTGGGCTGCCTGCACGCAATAGTTACCCTGATGAAGACTAACAGTTTGCAGTCGAAAAGTCGCGGTCCTCTACCAATGACCCTCAATCGTGAGACAAATAAATAAGTATCATTTATTACTTTTCCATGATCAGTCGTATACCTGTAGTTACCCTCCACGCAGGCATGACTTGGGGTGCTAATAAACGCATCTTGTATTGGCATACACCATGCAGTCTGAAGAAAACCATTGGAGCCGGATAGTTGGCATACCTACTAGTGTCATTCAGGTGCCTGCTTGCCTTAAGCACCCTGGGTTTTGTGTAGTCTATAAAGCAGATTTATTTGTTTGTAAATAGATTATCGGTTCATAGAACTGAACTAGGACTGTATTCATGCAGTTTTTAAGTAAAATACACTGATTCCGGGCGGCTTAGCTTGGGTGATCACCGAAGAATGGGTAGTTTTCCCAACTCGAATTCAGAATCATCTTTAGTTGTCTTTTTTTTTTTTTTTTCCATTTTCCCCCCACAATGTACCTTTAGGATGCATTTTTTTCTGCACTTACGATTTTCCGAAATCGGTGTTTGTTCCATGCTGTATATCAAAAACAGATTTAATTTAGCTTGTCCGACGTAGCAAACTTAACTAGGGAGGTAGAACAAGTTAAGTTGCTGGTGTATGCATGTTTTTGGGCTGTTGGGCAATATAGACGAAGGGCTGGACGGGGGAGTACCTGTTACAAGGAAAGAACAGCACGCTGGCTATTGTAGTAGGCCAGGGATTTTGTAAGCTCCTTGACCATCACTGACTTCTTCCTTTCATGCTACTATGAATTATCATCATCAGCGGTTTTTTATTTATATTTATTTTATTTAGTTTTTATTCATTGATCCAACCTTACTTGCCTTAATTTGAGTTTGAATAGGGTAGTTTTCCATCTTGTGCAATGTTTGTTGTATATATATGTCTAAGTTGAGCAGCCAAATGCAACGTGCCAGATGACGACTTTGCTAGCGAAACACAGAATGTGACCTATAAGCATAGATAGTACCACCATGAATAAGGTCTTTTCAAGGTTGAAAGATGACGTACTAATTAGGTCTGTGACAGTTGAAGCTGTGATAGCAGTTCCCGGAAAAACTAGGTAAACACTAGCTTGCGTTACACTGACTCGACTTCCTTATCAGCCACCACTTAAGATCCATGTCAAACAAAGACAGTGCCAAGTTCAACCTTTGGCTTTCCCGCCTAAACTACGCTACAGTGACCGCTTGACACTAGGAGTATTTCAAAAGTACTCCAAGCAATGCGTTAAAGATGTCTGAAAAATCCCAAGAGCCCAGCGACAATGTTCCCTTGCGGTCTGCTTTGCCAGTTACTGCTAAACAATCTGACAAGGAGGCAAGAAGTGGACTTTTTCTAAGCAAGTCAAAAATGGCCCTCGTGGCTGCCCTGATTATCATCTTGATCGTCGTCATAATAGTGTTGGCAGTGTTGTTTGGCATCGCCAAAGCTAAACTACACCGTGAAGGTAAAGGTTTTCTCTCCTTTTTGACCCGGTTTTTCATCGAATCAAAGTAAATCATACTTTAACCCATCAAACTTTAAAAGATTTGGAACTGTTGGAAGGCAATCCAAACCTGAGTACGACAGTTTTCGTTGTCAAGTTTATAACATGATACTATCGGCCTCGCTCCATACTCCATACGAAAATGCAAACCAGTAATAAATATCAGTTATCATTAGTGAATGCAATACAGATTATAATGCAAAAACAAAACAGCTCAACCGTATTTTTGCAAAAAGTCATGTTTATTTTAATAAAGAATATATTGAATTTGAATTCTACGTATACTTATGGGAGTATTTGACGCTTTGCTACAGTGGAATCTATCTTCAATGTTGATCCAGACATTCAAAGGTCATGTTGACTGAAGTCGTATGTTTAAAATTCAATTCCTATTGTTACTAAACTATCATAGATCCGCCAAAAATAACTGAAAATTCGTAAATTGATTTCTGAACAAACATATTAATTATGCTTTACGTACACCATTTGATGCCTCGGAGTAAAAATGTCTTCCGAAAGGTTCATCAGCGCTCAAGGGCACCGATGTGACATTCAAGTTTATTTTTGTTGTTGAGACACCTACTGATGTCGGCTGCTTAGGAGACTAGGACACCTGTGGCTACAATGCTAGTTCTAACAAGGCCCTTTTTAGGTATCAGGCGCAAGAGCTTTTTAGTAAAAACCCGAACAAAGTATACATTTTCTGAAAGCTCAATACATCTAGAAACTCTTTCTTTCTTTCTTTTTCGTAAAATATATTAATATTTTAAAGTTAGGGCGAAGTATTCAAATTTTCACATAGGTGTATTCGCGGAGTTCCACGACAGACGGAATTGATCGGAAACCAGTGTTTACTACCTTTACGAGATCACAAAACATATCACGTGTCAAGAGCGTGTCGAATTTTGATAATTTGCTCTGTTGCTTTGTTAAGCGTTCCTCAAGTTACAACACCGCTAAAATAGCTGTTTCCGATACTGACTGAAGATAGCTTAGGAAAAAAGCAAAAATGCGAAAATCGGAGACCCTCTTAAAAGAGCAACTACCTGAGATGACGACTTCCACTAAATTTCAGATAAATCGGCCATATTCCCTTTGACAAGGAACTCCGAACGTACGGTCAACTGAACGCAAAATCACTTCCGAGAAAAACGCAACATTGTACGTTTTTCAAGCCGAGAAGTGCCTTAGTGACATAAGGAGATTACGGACACCAAAATGTGTCCCCGATGACAGATAAAGTAACGAGAAACCAAGATCGAGTTACATTATTATTATTCTGGGCGGGAAGTCTAGATAAATTCCTAACTGAACTAACTTGAACTTTGGTTATTCAGTACCGTTCAATAGTGTTTTTTAGGCATTCATCTTTCATCTTTCATCATTCATCATTCATCATTCATCATTATTATTCAAGTTCAGACGTTTTGTTCGCCCAGGGCACACGTTTTATTTTTAAATGGACGCCTAACTAAAGAGAAAAGCAAGCGAGCAGCAGAAAATCAAAACGAAGGTCTAAAAGCGTCCAAGATCAAACAACAGTGGCTGATAAAGATGTAACGACAGATAGTTGACGAGTGATATCAACATGCATTAAATCGAAAACTATTAAAGCTAAAAAGTCTTTTTTCGTTTATTTCTCGCTAATAAAAAACGGTATTGGAAAATTCTTTTTTGGAAAATGATAGCTTATTGTGTATTCTCTCGAAAAATGTTAAAACCTAAAAATCAATCTTTCATAGCAATTTTGGGGTACCCTGATACCTTAATAAGTTCCTTCTTTAATAAGGCCCCTTCAGGGCGAGACTTTTTCCAAACGACATTCCCTTTAGAGTAATTCTTTTGTTTCCGCTGGGTAACTTTAGAACAGGAAGCCCAAGGAGCCGTTTTGTCTACAAATGGTATTACAGACCAGTGATTACAGGTCGATGCCATTTACATTTGTTACCAAGTGCCAATGGAAAGTAGAAAGAGCTAGGCATGCGGGGCAAGTTAAAATGTTCAAAAACAATTTTTGATGACCTCTAATGTACCAATGCCCCAACGACCCCTAACAAACTCTTTCTTTCCGTGAGGTAGAAAGAGATCGTGAAAAGGGTACCGAGCCATCCACAGGAATAACGACCCCCATTGTCCCCACCACCCCTGGTACTGAGGCATGGTGGAATCCACGTCTACCTACGAACATCATCCCCAAACATTACAACCTGTTTCTGAACATCACTGTTGACCTGCCTCGATTTGATGGTCGTGTTGGGATTGATATCGAGGTCAACAACAAGACTGATCTTATCATCCTGCACAATAATGGCTTGAATATCTCGTCAGTGCAAGTACTCAATAAATCAGGAAAAGGTAGGCTTTGAAATTAATGATCTCGAAAGAAAATGTGTTCACGATATCACTGAAGAACTGGCATTGTTTTAGTACTGATAGAAGCCTTGTCATTTAGAGGAAAGGGAGGGCGGKGGGCTTAGATTATCAAAGGAAGACCCAAACATTAAAAAGATAAAAGCAATGCATGGCTATTTAACAAACAGACATCAGATTTTTATGTGTCTGTGCTCTTATTGACGATAAATTGCGTCATAACATTGTCAAAGTAGTGTTGATCCACGAGGCGTAGCCTCAGATCCGCATCYGCATACTACTTTGACAATGTGATGACGAAATTTATAGTCAACAAGAGGACAGACACATAAAAATCTGATGTCTATATATTTGTTTTTTACAATAACAAAAACGATAAAAACTTCTCATTTTTAGCGAGCAAAATAACCAACCAACCAACCTACTATATAATGTTTTAAAAT